TTTTTAAGTTATTGCCTTGACCAAAAGGTCGACTACAAGAAGATGTATTTTCATCCACTGCTCTATGGCCTTTCAAATAGTAATACTTAAAGGGGGCAGAGGGGAATTGGGTGACTTAAGGGTTGAGTCTACTCCCCTTTTCCTTTAAAAAAATAAAGGAACAAGTCAAAAAGAAACACTCCAGGAGAGGGGAAAAAATCTCTCCCACTAGATTCCCTCTATCCTGATAAAGTGGTTGCTTTCTGGTCAGCAGATTTAGACCTAGATCATCTTTGCCACAAAATTACATAGGATGTAAGATTTCTGCATTCATTTGGAATTCCTATTACCAACCATCTTATAGTTTATAAAAAGATAAATGGGGGAAACTTACGATAAAACAAATATTACCCTCACAGACTATTAATAGCATGCAATCTATGAAATATTACATACATTAAAAGTCTCCAATGACTTTAGGCCTGGCCCATCATTACATAGCATCCTTCCAAAACAATATACAGAATTCAAAACTGTACAAAAATTTTAAATATGCAGAAAATCCAACAGGTTGTTGCTTTTAAAGCAAATCACACACATTAGTATTAAAACATGTAGGAAGAATCAGCTGACCTATGGATGCCCCCACTGCAGGTCTTCGGTAGGAAGGACTTCACTAATGTCCTCTCTGCTCCCCAATCCAGCAAGGGTCCAACAGGCAAGCTGACCACCAAACCTTTTTGCACAGTTGTCTTCTGGGCTTCTGTTGGTGTGAGCTGTGGGAACTATTTGTTGGATTTCAAAATACCCTCTGCCTTAGTAAGCAACTAAGCTTTCTCAGCCAAAAGCTATTTAAATAACTTTGAACATCTAGTTTCAAAACAGTTTTCCTAGTTCTACCCCAACACTAAGAAGAGTTGACCCTCTCCATGTGTGGTCTTGGTTGGGTCCATAATGAAGCTGAAGGCTCAGAGGACACTCGGGACCATTACTTTGAAGGAAGACGGAATAGAGTGTCAAGATAATCTAACAAAGCGTGAAGTGCCATGTGTCCTGGAGGCAAGATAATGAGAACTAAATTTAAAGTGTTGGAGAAATCTAAGCAAATTAGCTAACTTGCAGTGTGTGTGGGGAGGTGAGGGGGGAAACCTGCAACTTTAAAAGTCTTGATAAGGAAACGCTGTATCTTGAGTCTCAGTTAAATGGTGTGTTGGGATCACAGACTCCCAAGTGAAATACTAATGTCTGCCTACGTCATGGGAACTCCCTCACACCTACTACACCTGTTCGTTTCCTCCATCTGCACCACCTGTCCTGGGCCAGGCCCATGTCTGAGGTACGTGCAGCTACTGCTTCTCAGCTTTCGCCCACTGGGAAGTCACCTGGCAAAGGTGTCTCCTGGCCACGTCACTGGGACTGGGAAGAACCCATGGCGGCTCTGGCCTGTGAGCTGGCTCGTCACAGTATTCACCTGCTGAGCAGCAAGGCCTCCTGGACTTTTTTCAGTATTTCTTATACTGATTACAGAAGAGATGACTAAAACCATCTGCCTTCCAAACTCCACTGGATTTGAAGCTATAATTGTGCAGATGGGGAAAAAAAAAACAAACTTGGATAAGTATTTGGCCTTATGCCACTTATCAACCACTATACTTAGTCTGAAATAAGGTTCAAATTTTTACCAAGAGCATCTACTTAAAAGGCCAATCATACAAAATCAGAAGAGTATTTATCTTCTAAGTTGTGAGTAAACAACTCGGCAGCGGCTGGTATTTGCCATTAATAACATTCAGAGAGCACAGTAGCAAGCCTTTTATTCCCAGTGACTCAAGAGATTTGAAAATAGCTATTTTCCCCAAAAAGAATGTTTTTCTAAATAGTGAAAGAAGTAAAGAAATAGTTGGTCTGACCTCTAAAATCCTCCTCAAAAGAGCACCTAAGGCAAGTGTTCAGGACGCCCCAAGCAGAGCGCTGCTGCAGCTCCATCTCCTCAGACCCCAGGCAGCCGCGTGTATGCCTTCACACGGCCGCCGCAGCCCGCGAAGCCACGCCGCGCACGTGGCGACACCGGCCATGGGTGGCAGTGCAGTCTCATGCAGCAGCAGCACATCAGAATCAAACCGGCAGGTGTTACCCAGCCTCAGAATGTCTGGAGACTCATTTCATCCTCCTCAATCTACAGACTGAGAAATATGAAGGGACGCAAGTTCACTCAGCATTAACTCACCTGGTGCACTCGAGTGCAAGAGAATGCAGGGTTTACAGTGTTGAAGAGGAAATAAGCCGTCTGAAACAACTATAAAAATGCTTATGTACGGTATTTAAATACTGGTTCCCTCCTCCTCAGACAAGTGGGAGAAAGTGTGGGGCTGGGGTACACACTAGGCCACGAGGCTAACCTTGCACACGGACGCTGAAGAACAGCCATTGCCACAGACTGCAGGAGGAGAAATCCCAAGAGTGTACAGTATTCCTGAGAAAAATCCCAGATTTTTTTTTTCTGAAATCAGTCTTAACCTGATTTATTTTACATAGTTATGCTGTTATACCTCTGATACAGTCAGAAACGGTCACTTTATTTCAATCCAAACAGCTCAGGCATAGTAAAGTGATGGCAGAAAGATCCATTTGTTCAAACTCAGCTAGCTTATTTAATACTGAGGGATAAACCAAAAAAAAAAAAAAGTAGGTTTTGTCCTTTGTATCCTTCATTCATTTCCCTGGAGAGGAATCCCCAGGGCCTTTTGATAATCTGGGAAGACCTGGCTATTCCTGTGAGGGACACATGGCCCTGCTGAGCTTTACTCAGAATAATGCATGATGGACTCCACGTAATTGCCAGGAAAGAGCCCGGTCACTCCATTCATAACTCCCTCATACCAACCGTCGTCATTCTTCTTGATGACATAAATAATGGCTCCTTCCTGAAAGGACAGCTCATCTTCCTTGTCTTTTGTATAATCATAAATTGCCACAACTAGAGGGGGGAAAAAAAGGATATGAAAAAGAAGAATAACCTTCCTAGAAAGGCAGAACCAAATAAATGAATAGCCCTCTTTTCCTAACTTCCGCAGCACTTCAAACATAGTGATTTTCTAAACACAGACCAAAAACTAGTTTTTGTTTCTAATACCCAGTCCTCTATGATGGAGTCCCACCTTGGGGAGTTAGGTTCAAAACTGTATAAATGACGAAAAATCATATTTAGTTCAACTTACCCTTCCACAGTCAATGAAGAGATACACACAATTCCAGAATAGGGAAAGATGGCTAGTTCTTCAGTTGAGCTTGTGGTAAAGCACCATATTGTGCAAAAACACATATCTTTAAACATGAGAATTATACTAATGCAGTGTGATACACTAGGAGAGGCCAGTGAGAAAATGAGATAGACTAAGAATAGCAGAATTACATCTCCTTTCTCACACCTGCTAGAACCAGTGGCCAGTGCCTATTCACTAAGAATGGTGGCTGAATTCCCACAAGTTACATGTGTGAATGATGGTCTTTCAAAACACATCATGCATGATGCCTCCAATTTAACAAATCCACAATAACAGACTAAAAGTGGTAAGAAAACTGAGATACCTGTAAGCGCTCCTATGATTTTCATTACTTAAATAACTTGGTAACTGGGGGCCTTTCAATGATTTCTGGGACAATCTCTGGTTCCTAAGTTACTGCATCTTCCTCAACAGTTTGGTTAAATCGCGATACCCTTTAACTTGCTCAAATCCACTTGAAGATTTATCTTTTTTATAAAAAGATTCTCTGTACCTTTATTACACTGCTCAGAATTGATTATACCTTCATCTTCACATAAAATAAACAAACAGAAACCAAAACAGGGACTTTTGATATAATGCAACTTACTTTGTGTTTCTGGTCTGCTTTAATAAAAATTCAATGGCTTTCTTAAACTCTGAACACTTGCCATTCTAGTGATCTAGGATGCCAGAAAATACTTCAGAGAGACGTAGGAAGAATTTGGTGTATTTCTCAAAATATAACCAAACACTTAAACAAATATAATTGACATAAAAACGTAACTATAAATGTAAGAGAATACAAGATATGTAGAGTATTTCTAGTCAATCTAGTATTTTTTAGCTCATTTTTTGAACTGATAACATTCTTGATGCTTACAGAAATGCAAACCCACTGAAAAGTAATTTACAGGAAAACATTCCCAAGTCCTGTTAGTTCTACCTTCTAAATCTCTCAAATCCAAACACTTTTCCCCATCACCACAGTCACTGCCCTAATCAATGTAGCAGTCTTTAAACTGGAATACACATTTTACTGGCTTACCTTAAGATTTTCTAAGCAGTATGAATGACATGATTTTTACAGAGTTTCCTTCTAGATCCTCAACTTGTATAAAGACTGCTTTCTAAATCTGACCTGCTTGTGATGATACCGTGAGTCATGCGCCAGTCATAGAAGTTCTCATTTCCTGTTTGTCCTTCACCTACTTAAGGATAGTACGCCACTGTATTTTTGTTAAGCACCAAACACCTTGGGTGCCAAGGGGACAATTCAAAACTGGTGTGGTATTAAGAAAGAGAATTACTCCACTGACTAACCCAACCATTCTGCAGGTTAGGTGGCTCCCATTTTTTTACTTTTAACAACAGTTAAAGTAGACTTTAATGGGGTTTCCAGATAACACATCATATAAAACATGATTTTTAAAGAAAGAACATTATTTGATTTTTGGCAAATAACTCTGAAAGAGTTGAAAGAACTGAGTGACAGTGCTTCATGAACAATACTTCTATTTGCCATCTACTTATTTATGTGAACAAGGTTTTCAGCACCACTGCCTCAGTTGAGGCCCTCATCTCTTTCTTAGAAAAACATCCAACCTGCTCTTTCCAACTCCTATTTTCCTTTCGTTCTAAAGCATTCTACACTATTATCCAGTATCTTAACAAAATTAAAACGGTAAGTATGTGGGAACTTATCATTAACCTGTCCAAAATCTACAATTTCCCTCTACCACCATTTTTAAAAAGAAAAACATTCCAAACACCTCAGCCTAGTATTCAAGACCTCCCATCATCATTTACAACGTCCTTCCCTTCCTGCTCTCCTAGCTCACCCACCCCTGCCTACAACCCCCACACCCCCCTGCACCCAACACCACTCACCATGCCCTTTCACTCAGGATCCCCTCTGCCTGGGTGACCCTTCCCAACTCTCTTCTCTGCTTGAGAAATTCATACTCATTCAAGGCACATCATACATGCCATGTCCTCCAAGCAGCCTTCTGGACTCCCCAGATAGTGCCCATAGTGAATGGCACTATCCATTTTTTGACAGTCATTAATGGAGCATCCATTCTGACTTTCAGAGGCAAAATGATGAGTAGGACAAGGCGCTGTCAGTCTTGTGAGGACAGAAATGCTATCTGATAAATTACCACACATTGTTTATACTTCTACCAAGAAGTTATGACACTGAGTTGAAGAACACAAGAACAGAATGTTTGATAGAAGGAAGGGATATAAAATGGGCACTGACAAATAAGTCAGTGCTTGCCAGATCACTTAACGCTAGTAAACGGCAGAGCCAAGACTCAGTCCCAGGTTGGCCAGGGCTCAAGCTTAGGACAATGTTAATAATGTGGGCTCGGGAGTTATGGCATCTAGTTCAAATCTCAGCTCTACCAATTATTAGTTTACAGAAGATACTTAACTTTCCTGAGCTGCTTTTCACTCAACTGTGTAATGGGAATTGTGATAGTGCTAGCACCTCAAAGTACTGTTATATTAAATAACACAACACAAATACACAGCCCAGGCCCCTGTATATGGCAGACATTCTATATAAATGTTAGCTTCTTTTCTTATCATTAATAACCATTGTGATACACTATCTTTCCTGTAACACAAACATTTTCTGTTATATTCTGTAACATAAATTATTTTGAACCTCAACTTCCTACTTTGCAAAATGGGAAGACTAACTGCCTTACATACATAGTAAGTCTTCTATTATGCCAGGCACATAATAAATAAATGAAAATATCTGTTCTCTACCCAAGTTAAATCAAAATATTTACACATACAGATTATCTCCACTTGACTAGTATGGGCAGTAATCAAGGGTTAAGATAAACTATCTGGTGGTTTTCAGCCTTGGAATTATCTGAGAAACTTTAAAGAATTCTGATGCCTGGGTCCCATGTCCACAGATTCTGATTTAAGAGGTCTCAAAGTGCAGACATATCAGATACTCCCTAGGTGACCCTAATATGTAAGCATGGTTGAGAACCATGTCCTAAGTCTAAGATAACAAAATAAGACACTAGGCTCTTGCCTTCACATTTATGCACATTGAAACAAAAAGCAATCATAAACTGAACACAGCTGGCTACTTTTGTTTTGCCAGAAGATTAAGGAGGAGCTTATGTGATTTTCAGGTTTTGAAAGATTTGAACTTAACAGAGATAAATCAAACTTTGAAACTATCTTAGGAAACAATTGAGGCACTTTGCTTTTAAATTTTAAAGAATTACTTGGACCAAAAACAAACTCTCTTACAAATCTTTCCAGATTTTTACAACATGTTCACTGAAGGGTAGACTTTTAACATGCAAATAAATCTTTTTTTGTGCTTTTTGCTTAAGGAATCACTGAGCTGGTTTTTTCAGCCCCTAAAAACTGTCATCATTTTGCCCAGGACAGTGTTACAATCAGCTAAGGAGTTTGTAAAACACGTCAATGCCCAAGGCCACACCCTAGTGTAGTACCCTGGGCTCTTTTCTTTTTCACCTTAAAAAAGAGCTTTATTAAGGTGTAATTTAGACACAAAACACAATCACAAATGTAGAATTCACTGAGTTTTGACAAATGCATGCACCTGTATACAGGCCAAATTAACTACCACCACAATCATTATATAGAACAATGCCTATCACCTCAAAGTCCCCTAGGGCCCTATGTAAATTCTCTCACCTGCCAGTATTCGTCCCCCAAAACCACTCATCTTCTGCAGTTCATTTAGATGGAATCATAAAGTATGAGTCTTTTGTGTCTGGATTCCTTCATTAGCATATGTTGGAAATCCCTCCGTACTACTGTTTACACCAGTAGTTTATTCCTTTTCATTGCTGAACAGTATTCCACTGAATGGATAGACAACCTACAATTAGCGTATCCATTCACCAGTTGAGACATGTGGGTTGTTTCTAGTTTTGGCTATTATGAATAAAGCAGCCATGAACAATCAAGTCTTTTTGTGAACATACACCTTCATTCCTCTTAAGTAAATGCATAGCAGCGCACTGCCAGATCAGGGGTAGGTGTATGTCTAACTTCATAAGAAACTGCCAACTGTTCTCCAAAGTGGCTGGAACATGCTGCATTCCTACCAGCAGTGCACCCTGGACCAGCTCCTGTTTCACCACTTTCTCCAACACTTAGTATTGTCAATGTTTTTAACTGTAGCCATTCCAGAGGGTGTTAGTGATATTTAGTTTGGTTCATGGTAACTTGAACATGGAAACTTGCATTTTCCTAATGACTAATAATGTTGAGCATCTTTTCATGTAATTATTTGCAATTCATGTATCTTTTTTGATGACATATATTCAAACTGTTTTTCTACAAGTTGTTTGTCTCCTGAGATACTTTGCAAATATTCTTCCCAAGCTACATGGCTTGCCTTGTCATTTTCTTAACACTGTTGTTAAAGAAGAAAAGTTTAATTTAATGAAATTCAATTTTTCAATTTTTTATTTTAAACTTCACGTTTTTTAATATGTGCTCTGTAAAAATTTTTTCCTAACCCCAAAACACAGATTTCCTATATTAGTTTTACATTCAGGTCTAAAATACATTTCGAGTCAATTTTTGTGAATGGTGAGGTAAGGGTAGAAGTTCATGTTTTGCATATGGATGTCCAGTTGTTAGAGCACTATCTGTTGAAAACACCATCTTTCCCCCATTGAATTACCTTGGCACTTTTGTCAAACAGTATGTGTGGATCATTTTCTGGACTCTATATTCCACTGATTCATATTTCCATAGTTTTACCACACTGTCCTGATTACTGGAACTTTACACTAGAACTGTGAAATCAGGTAGTTTAAATCCTCCAACATTAGTCTCCTTTTTCAAAATTGTTTTGACTACACTAGGTCTTTTGCATTTCCATATGACTTTTAGAATCCTCTTGTCAATTTCTGTGGGAATGACTGCTTGAATTTTTACTGAGATTGCCTTCAACGGAGATCAATTTGGGGAAAATAAATCTCTTAACAATAATGATCAAAGAACATAATATTTATTTATTTCAATTTGTTTAAGGCCTTTATTAATTTCTCTTTAATGTTTTATAGTTTTCATCATATAGGTCTTGCACATATTTTACTAAATTCATCCCTAAGTACCTCCTATTTTTGATGTTATTACAGAAGATTATTTTGTAAATTTCAACCTCCATTGTTTGATGCTAGTATATAAAAATGCATTTAACTTTGCACATCAACTTTGTAGCCTACCACCTTGCTAAGTTCACTTTTTCATTCTACCAGCTTTTTTGTAGACTCCTTAGGACTTTTTACATATAAGACAATACCTTCTGTGAATAAAGATTATTTAATATTGTCCCAAATATCTGTTGCTGTTTTTGGTTTTTTTTCTCTGTGCCTCGTTTTGGACAGTTTCTAATGTCGTACTGTCAAGGCTGCTGATCTTTACTTCTGAGTGTCACTTAAGATACTGTATCTTTCATTTCCAGAAATTCTATGTAAGTTTCTCTTTCTCCTTTTTAAAAAAATATCTTCTGCTTACCTCTCATGTTCTTGTTTTCCTTTACCTTCTCCGACATACGTGGCCCTTTTAATAGCTATACCCTTCTCTGGTAATTCCACCATCCTGGTCACTTCTGGGTTTGTTCCTCCTGACTGGCTTTTCTTTTAGTTACGGGCTATATTTTCCTACCTTTTTACATGCCTTGTAATTTCTGACTGGATGCTGGTCACTATGAATCTTACTTTTTAGTGCACTGGATTTTGTTGACTTCTTTGAACAGTGCTAGGTTTTATTCTGGAGCAACGTTAAGTTACTTAAAATCAGTTGGATGCTTTCAAAGCTTGCATTTAAGCGTTTGTTAGGGCAACCTTTGGTCTAGAGCTAATTTGGCCCTACAACTGAGGGAACACACTCTTGAGGCCTCTTCCCAATGCCTTGTGTATTACAAGGTCTTTCTACTGTCGCTGGTTGGGGAACATGAACTATTCCCAGGCCTGTTATTTCTAAGAATTCTTCTGCCTACTCTCTTCTGGTTCTTTCTCCAAACTCAGGTAGTTTCTTCACATACATGTACAGATCAGTACTCTGTCAAAGATTCAAGGGGACCCTCCCACAGACAGCCTGAACTCTGTCCTGTGTCTTCGTGTAGCTACCCATTCTCTGTGGCCTCCCAAAACTCTGGTCTCTATCTTCTCTACTTAGTGAGACCTCCAGGCTTATTTGGGTTCTACCTCCTTGCTCCGTGGCCTGGAAACTGCCTCTAGGTAGCAAGCAAGGACAATTAAAGGCTCACCTCGTTTGAGTTTCTTCTTTCTGGGGTCACAGTCCACCAATGCCTGTTATCCAATGTCTGAAAACCATTTTTTTTTATATTTTTTTCTGGTTCATTCCTAACTGTTTTAGGAGGGAGGGTGAATCTGATTACTGTTGCTTAAGCTTAGCCAGAAGTGGAAGGCACTATTTGTTAATGTAAGCTCTCCAGGTGATTCTAACGTGCAGTCAGTTTTGAAACCCAGTGAGTTTGTAGCTTCAACTTCCTCAACAGAAAACGTCCTTCAGGACAGCACACATTTTTTCTGAGCTGACTAGTCTTCATGACACTTGGAAGCCTGTGTCCCCAAAGTGCCATATCAGGGTAGCTAATATATTCAAAGAAACTTTCACCAAAAGAAATGCCAAATAACTACTTTGTAAAAAAAAAAAACCTGAGAGACCATTATTCTCTGGAAGAAAGTTTCATATGGAGATACTTAAACGGAAATATCTGATATAAGATGCCACAAAAGAATGCCTTAAAGCATGGGAACAGGAATAACATATTTTGGAAAAATCCTCCTCTTCCTGAGTCATTACAGGAAAACCCTATCTTTTTAAAATTTGTCCTACAGAAACCATTCATTAAAAAGCATGTTCAAATAGGAACAATAAACAATGAATAAAAATCACAGTCACAGAATTTTACTAGTGTGACTTTAAAAATCACGAACATTGTAAACAAAATTAATAAAAAATGTACAGGTTATATGGGCAAAACTTTACTGAATCAGTAAAAAATAAGTAAGATTCTCTTCAGTACCAGCAAGTGTCACGTCAATGGAGAGGTGCCTTCCCATCTCCCAGATCTCCCTCTGAAACCTACCCTTTTCCAAGTAAGACCTTGGAGCCCACGGTGGGTCCTCTTCAGCATAAGGATCACTATACTCAACCACGGCTGCTTCCTCCTCTTCATAATCTTCTGGGGGAGGCGGTGGTGGTGGGGATTCATCAAAGACTGGTTCTTCCACAGGTGGTGGTGGAGGTGGTGCATCTGAAACTAAGAATGTATCAAGCTGATAACAAAACTACACATTATGCAAAGTTCTGCATCTCCTATCCAAGTTTCTATGTTCGCAGAATATAAACCTAGACTTGAAAATAATAATCTTTCAAAAATTGAGTGAGCAAGAGAAATCTGCCCACCAACTATACTGTTCTGAATCTCCAAGCTTGGTCCAGTGCCAATGGATGCTGAATAAAGTTTAGCCAAAATGATTATTATTAACTGAGCCTCTGGACCCTGCTATACTGATACAAAACGCTTTTTCAAAGAAAGAGACTAATACAGTACAGTTTGGCTTCACATTATATCCGAGGAGGAGGGGTTATTAGAAATGTTAATAATTTGGACATTTATAACAAAATTTAATTTATAGCAAGTTAGAATGAGTTCCATGAATAGTCAAATTTTAATAATCTGCTATGTTCCTCTCAATGAATTTTTTAAAAATACTTTTTACCAAATTAGTGGGGTGGAAATCACAAACAACTCTGGGTAACTCATCAAGATATTTGTGTCTGTTTCATCTTTATATATACAGAATTTCAAGTAATTCAGACTAACTTTTGACCCAGAATTTCCTCAGGCTAAATATCCAAGAGTGATTTAAAATATTTAAACCATCTCCTTATAGAAATCTGCTTCCACAGTTCAGAGATCAGAATGTAGCAATGTCTAAAAGATCATCTCAAAAACTCAGGAAACTCCAAGCTTTCAAAATGCTTAGTAGTACCTATTTGAGCACAGCTCAACAAAGCAAACCGAATAAAGCTGCATTTATCAGTTGCCCAATTTTAATAAACAGCATTAATGCTTATTTATGGGGTATCAGTGCTGTTTCCATGAAGTTCTCTGAGCAATGCTGTTTATTTCCCTTTTTTTAAATCTAAGCCTACTGATTGAATCAAATGGATTTTAGAAGACTGCTGATGCCTGGTGAAGATCAGCCATATCAACATCATACTCTGCTGGTCTGGTGTTCCTCCCATCTGCCATGCCACTCTGTACTTACAACTTGTCTATTTTCTGAACCTCAAAATTTTATTTACTAAAAATAATTCTTTTATCCTAATAGGCTTTTTAATAAAGAAAAAATACAGATACGTGATTTTTGCATATACTTTATGACAAATTACATACTGTTGGGGTAAGAATCAATAATATATCCTATTTGCATTTATAAGGTAAGGAGATTAACTTTAAACAACTGCATAACAACAGAGATCCAAAAGAACTCTGTCTTTCAAAACAGTCACCTTGAGAAATTACACTACAAAATTACTCAAAGATGCTGCCATTGCTCTTTTTCACCTTTTCTTGTACCTACCTCAGAGGCAGTTTAGTAAGACTAACATAAGCTACTATTTTTTACCTAATACGTTCCAATTACGTGGCTAGCACTTTACAACACATTATTTCATTTAATCTTTACCTTTGGAGGTGGTGTTTTTAATCCTCATTTTATGGATGTGGGAACTGGCTTTCCAAGATTAAGTAGTCCTACAGTAAGTGGGAGAGCAGGAATCTGAACTCCAGTGTCTGTTATGTTAAAAGCTACACTATTATGGGATGAGATCAATTCAGTAACTTTAAAGTCATGTTTCATCATTCATTCAACAAACATCACCTGAAAGCCTACTAATGGCTAGTTACTACGCTCAGCACTGAGACTAGAGCAGTGAGCAAAAATCATGCAGACACAGAGAACCAGACTTTCATTTATAATTAAGTGCAGTAAGTGCTTTAAGTCATCATGGGAATCACAGCAGTAGACCAAATCTCCTCTGAGGGTCAGGAAAAAATTCCTGGAACTTGAAGGATGAGCAAGAGTTAATGGTCAGGGAAGCAGAATAGAGTGGGTGTAGATATTTCATGTCAGGTGTAAAGAAAAATAACAAACACAAAAGGTAAGAAAGCAGGGACCCTTCAAAGAGCTGACCGCAGTTCAGGAGAAAGAGGCATGAGGAAGCTGAAGAGTACTAAGCAGGAAGGGCCTTGCGACAGTCTGAACTCTTCCCAAAGAGCACTGGAGAGCCGGAGGGTTCAGAAGGATAACAGGATCAGAGCTGCACTGCTTAGCCCAGTGTAACTGGTTCCAGATAATTCCAGACTCTTCCAAACATCAAACTTAACAGAGTAAACATCTGCTACACAGAGTACCTTCAAAATAATGCACTTGAAAGTTATAAAGCTAATTGCAAAACATAGGTATATATCTTTCTAAGGTGAATGTTTCGAAAAAGACCACATTCACTTGAATGTATAAGTCCTGCTATGTCTGTAAAGTCAGCCACAGCTCACCTCATGTACAAAGTTTCTTATTTTCATACATTTTGTAGGTGAGAAAATGTATATGATCATGGAAAGAAATGAGAAAAGATCACCCTAAAAGGTAATCACACTGTGGCAAATACTGAAGGTGCTCATGGGGTACCTTCCAATAAACAGAAGCAAAATAGACTATTTTCAGAAATTAGCAAATAGAGATGCAAAGGCACCTGAAAGAGACACTGAGCCCTCAGGCCAGTAAGACTGGGTTATAACCAGTTACAACACAAGAAAGAAATGTGTTGATAAAAATGGGACATTTCAGTCAGCTATGGAAGCACAAAAAAGGAAGGACTGAAAGTGTCTGCTGTGTGTCAGATGCTTTTCTAAGTGCAGGGGAAACAGCCAGTGAACAAAACAAGCAAAACCCCCTGCTCTCACAGAGCTTACATTCTAGTATTGCCGATGCCCATTTCCAAAGAGGCAGGAGTCCTAACAACAGAGTGCAAATATTTCTATCCCCTTGGTGAGGCCGTCCCTGTTATGAGATGCGTGCATTGGGCTACTTCAGCCTGATGACATTTAAATTTTTCATTAACATTAACTCCCCTCGTTCAGATTTGACAGCCATCATGCAATCTCATGACTGTGCCAGGGATGCTATGTAGACTGCTCACAAGAAGAGAATTCATCTATCATACGATATGTTCACTGGTCTCTGTAACAGTAATTCCTCACTAAATACTGATACAGGCCTCCTGCTTTGTAGACATTAGTCTTTTGAGCTTTCTTAGTGCTTCCCTAGGGAAAAACTCAGTGTGTCAATAAAATTGGTCATCTGCTCCTGCATGGCTCAACACCAGACCACAGGCCAATGTAAATACACTGCCAATCTACAAGGCCTCCCGGGAGACAGACTGGCAATTTGTCCCAGAGGACGTACCATGGCATGGCCATTTTTATACCTCAAATCAGGACTAAAAGAAGATTCCCAGGACAGCCATAAAACCCTAAAACTCCAGTGACAGCCTACAAATTGTCTGAGCAATCCAGAGAAAAAGATGGGCTATCTGGTGATTAAAGAGCATCTCCTCAACTAGACGTACCCTTTCTTTTCACTTGTGCCTTATTTTGATACTCATTTGTCTTATCTTCACTATCGGATTTTAAGTTGTTTGAAAGCACAAAACTCCATCTTACTTATTTTATCATCCATACTAGCTGCTCATGTAGCCACCTGTTCATAATATTCAAATGTCTGAAGTATCAGTGAATGAATGACTATTCAGCCAATCATATATAAATGACATTTTATGCCTATAATCTGAACTACAGTGTAAAGAAGACATAAACTTACTATTTTCTTGGACTCTGGCCACAAATCCCATTAAAGGTAACTGAGGAGTTACCTGTAGGATGGAGGGAGGAGGAGGAGCAAGAGATACTGCAAAAACAAAAAAGTTGTGGAGGATAAGGGGTAAGGGCGAGTTACATTAAAGGAAAGGATAACACAATAAAACAAACATATAAGGAGGGAAACCACTATGCATAAACATTTTACAAGCTATTTAAGGATCATCTTTTGAGGGGTAACTCATTAACACACAAAACAAAGTATTAGGGGAGTTTCAAGGAAGTTCAAACAAATTACAACAGAAAGCATTCATTATATACAAATCTATTCTAATATATGATGACAAATAGATCTTTTTATATCAATAACATGTCTTCTCAAAGAAAGAATAACTTCAGATTACCATGAATAATTTGGTTTTCTGAATTTTACCTTGAAGGTTACAACTTTAAATGTCCACCAATACAAGGGAAAAAAACCCCATAACATGCCAACATTCTAATTTTACACTTTTCATCACTTCATTAAATGAGCAAAATTAATTGGTTCTTCAGTCATTAATTGAACAAATATTTACTGACTTCCCATTAAGTGGCAAGCTCTCTACTAGGGGACCAATATCAAAACAATTTTGAGAGTCAGGCCTGTGTCTTTACAGTTTTTCACAATCCTAATTCATACCACCAATGCCAGGTACATTTTCTCCCTCACCCTACAGAAAAATGCTGGCCTCATTCAAATCATCCTCCTCTCCCCCAAACGTGTCTTTCCATCTATCTCAAACACCTAGCACTAGTGAGCCTTCAACAAACGTTTATGTATGTAAATACACAAATAAGCCAGGTACATGCTAAACAACTTCCCAAGATTAATGCTACAGTGTTTCCTTCAGAATGGGTATACAGTACACAGTATGGTACGTAAAGAGAGAACACCTCTATTAGTTTCAAATCACAGCTAATTCTAATAAAACTACAAAGATGCCTCGAGATCACATTCTAGTTGAAACAGAAAACAAAATGATAACCTTAACCCAAGAATATTTGTAGCAATTCACTGCAGGTGGTGGTGGTGGTAGAAGGGGCGGGGTGATGGTATGGTGTCACGGTGATGGGGGAGAGGGGTTTAGGTTAGGATTGGAGTGGGGGCTACATAGAAATGACCTCTATGAGGTACTTGAAGAAAAGGAGGTCAACAAGCAGACAAGGGTTGAGAAAGACAAGTTGAGAACCAAGTGAGAGGCAAAGTATAACAATGTGTAACAGTTCACAGGACCAGAAATAGTTCAATAGGGCTGGCATAAAATGCCCCTGAGAGAAAGTACAAAACCTGGGAAGGTGAGTGGGTGGATATGAAATAGGGAAGGAGCTTATATGTTAGGTGAAAGAGTGCTCAGTGGAAACATCTTGGACTTTAAAGCCATCTAGCATCAAATACCAGATTCACCATTTCCTTGCCATTGGAACAGCAAGTTATTTAACTTTTTCTGAGCCTAATCCATAAAAGTGATATGAAAGAGATTATACAACCTACTTTACAGGGAGACTGAAAATATTTTTTTTAACATATGCAGAAAGCATAACCCAGGGTCTGGCACACAAAAATGAAAGCACTAGAAACAAAAAGGAAAGGAGAGAACTTAGTAACAGTGTAGGAAAAAGAGTATCTGTAACTAAGGATTTAGCTAACATATGAGGGAGAAAACAGCTGAAGATATTCTTAGATTTCTGTCCCTCCTAACTATGAAGGTAGCAGTGCCATTAACCACCTTAACTTTGGTAGTATGGGGAATGAAATGGGCTGGTGAGTGGGAGAGTCAGGGAGAGATGATGACATGATAAATGAGATGTATAAAAGTGACTCAAGCATAAATGTGGGAGGCAGCTAGAAAGCTTGGGTTGAATCTGTGAGAAAAATCAAGTAGAGAGTAGTGATCAGCAGAGATAATGAGATAATAGTGGTGCCATGGGTAAGTGCAGGAAGAACAAACATACACAACATACAGACAAGAAAGAGGTCAACAGATAATCCTGAAGAATGTCTAAAATTTAAGGGACAGAGTCAAAGAACCCTAGAAATTGGTACCTTCCTTTCAACGATATCTTTTGGTTAGGTTTTCCTGTAAAGTCATACTTCTCGGTAGTAAATCCTAAAACTGTGTGTCTGTCTCCCACACTCTCAGAGGCCTGGAACAACTGCTGATATGTTCACAATACCCTGTGTTTCCAAATTTGGGTTAAGAGGAAGACACAATGAACAGAGAAAGCAGCAGAGACAAAGCAGGTAAAACTGAGAAATAGCCGCAGACAGCAAAAGCACTTAGAAAAGTGGAGATGAGATATATGTTCGTATCTTATTAAGATGAAATGTTCCTCTTCTGTTAGCACCCATCCCAACCTCCTCTGTAATAGAAATAAAGGAAATTTCCCACTTCAGTCATTGTTTTCAATCCAAATTGAAAAAAAAGACCTCCTAGTATTCAGCTAAAACAGAAATGATTAGGTCCTTAACTTAAAAGTCTTTTTGTAGGTAGAGTTTATTACTTTTTAAATGAATATACAAGTTTTATTTCTTTTCTAGTTTTGAAAGTGAAAATCTGAAACCACAGTGGTTTTAAGAGGTTCACCAAGAGCAGCGCAGGTAAAAACCAATCCCGAATCTTTCTTAAACAGAATTACTTTATAACAAAACAAGCTAGATTATTCTCAAAGCCATTTCAAGGCATGTTCAAAAATTCAGTTCCAAATGGGGTTTACAAAGGCTGCCTCAAATTCTACATCTTTTGCCCAGGGCAAACTTTTAACTTGATGGTCCAAATTGATTTAGTTATCACAGAATTTTCTTTCTGGTCAGCAAGGTTTCATCAGAACTCCTGTGAACTAGAAGATTCTATTTTAGACTAGATTTATCATCCTTAGAGCTGAATTAAATGTGAACTATTTTAGGAGAATTTAAACAGGATTTTGACGTGACGAACTGTCTGCAATACTCAGTTCCAGTCCTACATATCTCATCAGAATACTGGTGTATAAAACAGGCAAGAGCAGAAAGTAACTCAACCTGTTTCCATCCCATTTAGCTAAGATAATTCCTCACATGACAGAAACTTTCCCTATAATCACCAAGGTCTCCCAACTTAGATTCAGTAACATTATGTTCACACTACAAAATAATGAAGTTAATGTGAAGAGGGGATTCATTTATGTCCTGATCAAAGTGATCCTTCATTAATGTGTTTCTGAAATAATCTCATTAGAAATAATTATTGTGTCCCTAGGGCTTGGCACCAGACACCAGGTGTTCCGTATTTTAACTCCTATGTTAACAATGCCATTTCAAACTCAGACCCCACACACTAACAGTGCTGCTAGACTTAGATCTCACAGAAAACTCTGCTGAATTAACATTCACGTGGATCCCAGGCTTCTAGCTCACTTCTTCAAAAGCACAAATCCATGTTGAGCCTCCAATGGTAAAAATTATGCAAATAAAACACACATCTGGGATCATTTTGTATTAAATCAGGGAATTAGCAACTTGAGAAAGCACAACAAATTTTCTCATTTTAAATATGAAAAAAAGGGAACCATTTTAAGACCAGTGGGACTAATACAAGAGAGCTACATAATAATCTAAAGCAAATAAAATGAAGGTGCAATAGCCTTAAAATACTGGTTTATAAAACAGATCTTTTCAAAGAATGTAATTTGTTAAAAAAAATTTTTAGTTTAGAAAAAGCACTCTGATTATTAAGCTAACAAAGTTGTAGTCACTCTCTTTAATCAGTTACCAAATCTTGGAGAAAAAAGGCAGAACTTAATCAACAGAAGTACCTAAAAACAAACTAAATTGCCTCACACATTATGCTGATGGCTCAAAATTCTCAACTCATTTTATACCTCCCATAACTGTGAAAAACACTTTCATTAAAATCATTCCAAAGAGTAGACTGTTCTTCTACTTTAACATATACTTTCAAGTATGTTAAAATCAGATTTACAAAGTATTAAAATATGTATTTAAAATACATGTGCTTAAACAGCCTTCAGATAAATTCCACCAACAGGGTTCTCATAAGACCAATATTTTGTTATCTACATGTACACACACAGCATGAAATAGCTTTGTATATACTTTCTGAATATAATGTGCACTTGGTCCCAAGCTGTAACAATGAAGCATCATTTCAGCTCCACTATGTAATCAGTCCATGTTGGACACCATTCTTTCAAAACTCTATGCAAGGATGAGGAAGGGCATAAGGACCATAAGCAACAGCTATTTATAGATTTCCAAGAGGGTCGGGGGAGAGCTTATCTTCAGCAGAACTACAAAACAGGCCATATCTAACAAATTAAAATTTAAAAATGAATTACACATTTAGGTACAAAATAGCACCTGTACAAATATGGGTTTGGAACACCTGATTCAAAAGCAGAATGTACGAGAAGACATGTATATTTGTCAAAATGAAGCTCAAAATGATTTTAAAAGAATGGCACACTCCAAATCACTGTGATGAAAGACAGCAGAGAAAGAAGTATATTTCAGCTAAGGTAGACGGTAAGCACACTACAGTATACACTGGCTAGACTATAAATATGGCATTTAATTTACACGAAGGACCCGAAACAGTGAAGGCATCTGAGTAAAAGAACAAGGGATTCATTCCACATTCAGCAGTTACTGAGCACTATTCCCAGGACGTAACAGATGAAAAACTGACAAAGTCTCAGGTTCTTCTGCACTTTACGTTACAACACGAGCAACCTCCACCCCACCTCTCCTACCCTAGGGAGGGTGAGAGAAAGATTTTTTACATCTGAAGTAGGCAGGATAGTACAAAAGAAATAACATTGAACTTAGAGTCAGATGACCTAAGTTCAAATCCTAACTTGACTATCACCTCAGCCTGTTTCCTCACCTGTAAAATACAGATGAAAATAATCACGTGATTATAAGAAACAAATGAGATAAAAAAAAATACAAAAGCATTCTTTAAACTCCGTTTATGTGAGAGGAGGAACAAATTTCTTCTGCAAGACGTCAAAAGATGTAACAAGGTTTCACCAAAAAGTAGAAGAGCCAGTAGACAGATTTCAGCTCCATGCAGTTCAGGGCTTATCCAGGACGGAACAGGCCGTCCCCTTATATTAGAGGTGAGCATACACGGACTTGCTGGCTTTCGGCAAAAATCCAGGAAAACACAGTAAGTTGACACACCATGCCCACAGCAGTCACAGAGTATAATATTTGCTCTTACCCTCTCTGGGGAAGAAGCAAAACAAATGATTACGTTTAGTATTAAATATATGCCAGATTAGCTTTTCTGTATGCATGATGCTGCTGAAAGATAACTGTGACATCTGGGTCTATCTGTCCAAGTCCCAGTTTTCTCATCATAGGTTTGGCAGAAGAATTGAAAGAGACAGTATAACTGCCTAACACAAAACCACTTCAAAAATGTCATCTCCCTTTTCCTTTGCCACTTATAAACTCTATTCATGTGCAGTCAATTTTCATTATTTGCTATTCACAGAGCAAGGATATCTGATTAAAAAAGAAGATAATACTGTTCATCACAATATTATTTTTTAAAAAAAACAAATAATCACTAGCACATTCAAAAAGATTCTTTTCAGAAAAATTAAGTTCTACCATTTATACAGAAACCATGTGTTGATTTTTTTTTCAAAAAGAACCAGAAGATATAGTATTAGCAATCTTCTGTTCATTCTTCCACTCATTCAAATGGTACTAACCACCTACCATGAACTAGTCATTTGCAATTAAAGGTTTTTTTCTCTGTAATTGAATATTTTTAAGTAGATATATTCCATAGATTGCAAAAGAAAATCTAACCTGGGTTCTGGCTATAAAAAGGTCCTCCATTCATCTGATTCTGAAGGCTTGTTTGTGAAGCTATGGAAGGAGGGCGTCTGTAGGGCAAGGAGCCCCCTATTGTTGGGGGGGTGTGGCGAGTGGCAGGTCTATTCATGCTGTAGAACTGGACAGGATGACCTGGAAAAGAGACAAAACACAAATTTATCATTGAAAGAAAATTATCTCAGACAAGGAAATACTTTAGGTACAATTCCTGAGTCTTAAAAAGACTATTAAAAATAACAATGTTGAGCTAATTTAATTGCCATCTGACAAGTATTAATACAAAGTGCAATTGCTCAGTTGACATTATATCAAACTGCAAAAGCAGAAAAGTAGATAAATAAAATTATGATTAGGTTTGGAAAAGCTGTATCTAAATAGATTATTAATTAATATTATGATCTTATTCAATTGGTAATTTGACAGGGTTTCAAAAATAATCACAATTGAAATTTATGGCTCACTTCCTCCCCTAAAACATTGGCCATTAAACACTGAAAACTAAACTCAACAAGATAAGGATAAAGCAGAAGAAAAAATCTTTGACAGTCTTATGCCAAAATAATAACAATAATAATAACAGTGGTAAATTTAAGGCAGCAAAGCAATTTGGTTAAAGGAAATCATACAATATTTCAGCAAAAGGTCCAGTGACATAACTCCAAATCAAACACATCTTTGTTTAATCAAAAATACCTTCCTCTAAAGCTAGACTATTTTGTCCTAAAATTAGAGTTTAAGAAATTTACAATTATGAAAAAAAGCTGATAGAAGTAGGTCAAAATATATCTCATTTTTAGTATCATCCTGAACCTGTACATATGTATCAGCAATTTCATAACATCTTACTCTCTGAACATACTTCAATAGAGAATGCCAACTGAAGACACCCTTTTCCCAATCCATTCAATTGCCTAATACAATCCAGTTCCTAAATTTTATCTTCACTCCACTCCTACTTCAAATTATTAGACAGACGGACAGACCAAGTACTAGAGCACCCATGAGAGAGCAGGCAAGCAAAAGGGGGAAGGGGGGAGGGGAGGAGGGAGAAGAGTGAAGGAAAGAAGAGGGGGAGGAAAGAGACAGGTGAGGAGAAGAAAAGGGGAAGAGGGGAGAGTAAAGGAGAAAGGACAAGGGAAGAAGGGAGAGGAAGAGGCAGAAAAGAAAAGCACTTGACAATTCCTCATCTTTTCCATGACTATAAAATTTTACATGATTAAAATCGATCTTTCACGAACTCCTCAAATGTATCAAACTTGGATTCATATGGATACTCACATAAAGAATATTACAAAAGCACTCAAGAGCTGCTATAGGATTTAATCTTCATACATTTGATAGTATCAAAACCTAAAACTCAATTCTGTTGTATACAAATCTTTAGTCAAGCTTAAACATAATCCACTGTCAAGTCTATGTAACCATGATAAAAATGTAAAAAGCACATAAACTAATAAACTATTATTTAAAAGATATATTTTGTCATCTGAATCACCAGATACACATTATTGGCATTTTAGGAATTAATTTGTAACACACTAATACAAGCCTAGAACCACCAAGTTTAAAACTCTGATAATTAAGAGTATTATGAATTTTATATAGTCAGAGTCAGTCTAAAATCTCCCATGTTATAAGCCCTCAGCCATCCAAAGACATTACATAATACTCTATTCACACCATTAAGGGGGCATTTATTTTGCTTTGAGTTGAGGAACAAAACTATAGTTTAATTCTCATAACTATCATACTATTGTAACTATCATACAAGTTGTAAATTATCATAACTATCATTAACTATAAAAACTTTAGAAACTTCTAGAAGAAAACAGGACAAGTCTTTTTGACCTTGTGTAAATTTGTAAATATGACACCAAAAGCACGATCATAAAAGAAAAAAAAAAGCAATGAACTGGATTTAATTGAAATGAAAAACTTCTGTTCTTTAGAAGATATTAAGAGAATGAAAAGATAAGTCACAAAATGGAAGATACTTGCAAATCACATAATTAATAAAAGGCTTGTACACAGAATATAAAAGAACAACCCTATTAAAAAGGTATGTGAGGGGAAGCAAAAACATTTGAACAGACATTTCACCAAAGATAAACAGATGGCAAATAAGCACATGAAAAGATGTACTACATAATTATTCATTGGGGAAACATCAATCAAAACCATAGGAGAAACTATTATACACCTATTAGAATGGCTAAATTTAAAAACTATGTGTGATGACAATACCACATGCTAACAAGTATGCAGAGCAACTGAAGTTTCACATACTGCTTGGTGGGTGTGCAAAATTTGTACAACCACTTTGGAAAACAATTTGGCAATTTCTTATAAAGTTAAGCATTCACCTACACAACCCCAGCAATCCTACTCCCCAGGTATTTACCCAAATGAAATGGAAGCCTACGCTCACACAGAAGTCTGCATGTGAATGTACTTGGCTGTTTTAAGTCATCATCACTCATTGATGGAAATAATCCAAATGTCTCTCAGTTGGGAAAGGGATAAAGAACCTGCGGTAAATACACTCAACAGAACACTACTCAGTAATAAAAGAGAACAAAATAATGAAACACGCAACAATGGATAAATCTCAAATGCACTGGGCCAAAAAGCCAAACCCAAAAGGCTACATTATATGTGCTTCCATTTACGATATTCTTACAATGGCAAAACATTAGAGACCAAAACAAAACAAACAAACCACAAACAACAAACCAGATCAAGAAGTTGCCAGGAGCTAAGAGTGAAACAGAAGGAGACTGACTACAAAGGGGGCATGGAGGAAATCTGAGGATGACAGGACTGTTTGTTCTACACCTTGAGCATAGTTGTGGTTATATCACTATATACATTCGTCAAAACTTGCAGAAATTCACACTGGAAAGGGTGAATTTTCCTGTATATAAATTATAAATTAATAAAAAGAAAAGTACTTTGTGATTCAAAGACACTACATAAAAGAGATTTATTGATATAAACTGTTAAACAGCATTTAACTTACTTTCTGTTAAAAAAAAGAACTATAATTATTTACTCATATAACAAATGTTTATTCACTGCAAACTAGGAACCAGCACATTTTAATTACTAAAATGCTGGCTCTACGTGGGAGTGATTTGTCCTTTCTGGGCCCACAACTAGCTCTAGTAAATAAAACTCAAGCAATTAAAAAATGCTTATCTGTGTTACCCTATTAGAATAATCAGCAACTGTACCATGACTGCCTCAGGAAATTCTACTCTTTGGTCACATGCCATTTTCTAGTTAGTACATTATTCTTCAAATTTCCGTTTTATACAAACTACAAACGGAACAAATTGTAAAGCCAGAGTTCCAGGTGAGAGGAAAGCCAGACGACTGGATCCGCCTGCCAAGGAACAGGCCCATACTCACCTGCAGGGGGAGTGGAGGAAACAACAGGGGGAGTTGGAGAAGTGAAGCCATCAGCCAGGGTCTGGGCACCCCCAGCGGCAGCGTCTGGGGCAGTGGAGGAAGGGACAGTAGCAGGAACAAGGGGGGAAGGGGCAGATGCAGAAGTAGCAGGAAGGGGAGGAGTACCAGCAGAGCCAGCAGGGGCTGAGGGGAAAGAGGAGTAAGAGGCAGCATTAATGAGGCAGTTCCAGTAGGCAGGATTAGAAAAGGCATTAGAGAACTTAATGGTAGATACTCAGTGCTTATCAACAACCAAAGAATAAATAGAAGAGAGTGTTAAAAAAAAAAAAAAAGAAGAAGCTTATGTTAAAGAATTATTAGGTTTGCAGCAAATAATTCAAGACACTAAGGGTAATGTACAGATTTCATTAAAACATTCCTTTTTATCTGAAGCCAAAACTCTGGAAGAAAAGTGCTCCCTTCATACTGTTATTTTTAACATAACATTCTGTAAATAGTATATGAACTGAAACTTAACACACTAGAAAATAACAGTATTCTGTTTTGAATTATACAAATCAGAACATAAGCATATATTCCAGACATAAATAACTTATCATATAAAGAATTAAGAAAAATACAAATCTCTTTTTCATGATTTTTTAAAAGGTATTATCTGTTACTATAAGTAAATTACATCTGTAATATTCCATCCTTGTATCTTTTGTGTCATGTTTTTAATACTAAATTTTAACCTTGTGTGTCCTCACATTAAACAAGTACATGTTTCTGTTTCAGAGCAAAGAGGGTAACATTTAAGAGACTATTAAGTTTCAAGAGTCCACTAATTTTAACTGTCAAAATTATATCTATCCAATTCTCTGTTACCAGTAAGATTCTCACACTGAGTCCCCACTGCGTCCAGAGGCGTGTACTGTCATAACACCAGCTGGAATTAAATATGTAACTCATTCCAAGGTGGTACCTGAAACCTCAAAGCACCAATTAAACCACAGCACCAAAGACATAAGCCAAGCAACAGGGAAGTATATAAACATAAACTTACAAATTGCTTGGTTAAAAATAACAAATGCATAAAGATTTCTCAACATTTATGGAGTCCTAAAGGAGAAAATTCCAGATTATGAAAATAATCTTACTGTATGTAATTGAGTTAGAAATTGAATTCAAATTCAGATAGGACAGATGAAGATGAAGCATAATTCATGTTTTACCTGGAAAGACACTGGGAGGAGAGGGCGTAGGAACAGCGATGGGAACTCCCACACTCCCGCTTCCGCTGTTCTCCCGGCTGCTGCTCCGGCTGCTGGGGTGGCTTCCTCCACTACTCCCGCTGCTGCTGCAGAAATGAGAGCCCCCAAAACATAAGGATCTAGAAAGTCATCACCAGCACTTTCCAAACTGTCTGAAATGAATACAGCTACAAAAAGATAATTCAAAACCCTCCACTTCAAATATGAATTTCTTAATAAAGTACGGGGAAAAGTTGAGTTCAAGAAACTTGTTTTGATCACCTTTTAATAAGCATGTATTTAGCAAGAAATTAAAAAGGAAAAAAGTCTCTGTAACTGATAAATGATGGGACTCAACACATAAAAACAGTATCACTTTCATTTATTCCAGTTTAATGGCTGTCTGAGTAAACTTCTTTTACAATAAAAAGTTTTCCTAAACAGATTATTTGATCAACTTTATTTGTAATGATATCATGATATACTACCCCATTATTGTGTGTAGTTTTTCATCTGTAAAGTTTCACCAAAAAACAACTTCAAATTTCCCATATCTGGTCCATAATTTTTTTTCAAGTCAATTATAACTATTAATCTTATAGAGAAGTTTGCACTTTGAGATGTCTGTTCTTTTTTAGCTTCCTAACTGCTCAGAGCTGTACCAGAACATGAGGAAAGAGAGATGGAATCAGATGAGATTTGGGGGAGGAGAGTGAGGAAAAGAACTTAGTGCTTGGAAAATGAGAGCGACTTAACTGAAGTTATCTGAACAAATTATGGTCCTAGGACCATCACATTTTGCGCTGAGGTAGAGAAAATACCTGTAAGTTCGATTTCTTTGATTCACAGAAGCTGTCCTCACAGGGCTCTGCTGCGAGGGAGCCATATTACGGGTTGGGCTAGGTACGTAATCATTTGGTACCACTGGAGGACGCACTGGCTCCAGTGTGCGATAGGGGGAGTGCCGCCTACAAAAAGAAGAGCGTATGTATTGTGTGATTAGCAAGTTTCGGCACAATAAATTCAGAGTTGCCAGTAGTGAAATACAATCTGTACTCAGAGATAGTAATGTGTGTTTTAATAAAACCCAGTTACCAATTTCAGTCCTCCCCTAAGTATCACTTCTCCACCATTAAGGTTTTGATGCATACTATTATTTTTTAAGTCTCCAACCTCATTTCCCTATGATAATGTAATTTTGTTCACTTATTCTGAGAGCATGAAGATTCTCCTAGTGGGTAAGCCAGTGTTTCCCAAACTCTGTTAGATGAGTTCAAATTATTTTAGTACCATGTCAAAGTCTCCCAACTGCACTGCAGGAATGCACTAATTATCTTCCTCACCCCTCTCTCCCTAACCAAAAAAAAAAAAAAAAAAAAAAGGCGGGGAGTGGTAAATAAATCTAGAATTTGGCTCCACAGCCCCCCACTGATGATCAATAACAACCATAACAATTCATTTCCCTTTCTATACAGGAAATACATAGGAAAAAAACTATATCCACACACAGAAATACAAAATTTAATCTCATCTCCTTCCATTCTCACTTCACATCCTCCTTCAGCTTTCACCTTGATTGCTCTTACCTCTTACCTTCCTCAGAGTTCAACACTCAAAAGGGAGAGAAGAAAAAAAGAGACCACCTATATCTTTCTACTTTATTTACTCTGAGTTATAAAGTACAAAACAGACTGGATTTCATTAACATACTTCCCTCTTTTTTGCAAAAATTTTTTTAAGAAAAGAGAATGAGAAGAGCAAGAAAGGAAATATGATAAGAACTAAGATGCACACTGGAACATTAGTGATTATTAACTTAGTTCTCATCTTTAACTTTCAATTTCTTTATGACAATGATAAATACTCAACTGGCATGAAACTGATAACCCTGTAAATGAGATCCTGGTCTTTAAAAAAATAAAAACTGGATCTCAAGATGTGAAAATTAAAGAGCTTTCTTTTCCTAAAACGATGTTACTCATTTGACTTATGTATTTCTCAATAATTCACTACCCAAAAAGCTCCCAAGGTTCTTTTAAATACTGTTCTCCTGGGCCACCCAAGTTTTGGCTCATTGATTTGGCATGAAATCATGAGCTGTCAACTCTACTACCTTCTTGCATAAACAAATACACACATTATTAAAAAATACGTAAGGGGCATGAGATGAGGTATTGGGTTAAAGAAGGAAAAAGGAATGTTAGGACCTTGGATTTAAAATGCTAAAAAGAAGTTCAGGTATCTCTGAAATTATCAAGTATACATAAAACACAATAAAATGGGAAACTGATTAATTTCCAAACATCTGACTTCCAGTTTTTCCCAGACAATAAAAATGTTCTATGTCAACCAAGAAAAAAAAATCCTTTGCTGATTGAGAACTATACCATGAAGGCAATGATAAAAACAAGGTAAAAAACTAAGGGCAGAGAACAAAACATGGTGGTTAGGCAAAGACTGAAAAAGCCAGGCTGTGACCATAAACTGTGTGGCAGTGCTCAGCCTCGCTGGTCTCCAAGGATCCTGCAGAGCCCTTGCTAATACACAACGAAAACAAATACTAGTACATGAGTAAATCTTCAAAATTTGAGAGCAACAGAAAATTTTATTTTACTACTGACTAGAGTGGGTTATTTTGCTAATAATCTTGATTCAAAACCTAACAAATCCAGTAGATACTGTATGTGACAAAAATGTAGACATTCCACAGGAAAATAAAACAAATACTTCTTTTTGACTTGGTCCTCTACTCTTAATCCTGCACAATTATATTCTACCACGTCATCTACCTCCTATCCTGAAGTGTAAATCTTATTTAATCTACTAGATTCTTTCCTCTCTAAGTAGATTTTCTTTGTCCACCCCAAATAAAACCATCCCAATTCCTGGCTGGAATTCATTTTTATTCTTTTGATTCCTACTGTCCTAACTATAATTCCTCTTTCAACATTATCTTCCTTTGCTTGATCAGGTTGTTTTTCTGTTTGGGGTTTTTTGGTGTTTTTGGTGAGGGGGCCAAAAAACAAGATTGCCAATTAAAAACTTTAAAATATATATTGCAAAGCCAATGATAGTCAGAGCATTTGTCTTTGTCTTATACATTTTTTAAAAATCCAATTCATAGTATAGTGACTCTGAAAAGTTGACAGAGGACAAATATTACCCCCTTTTACAGATGAAAAAACTGAATTGCTAAGAGGCTGACTATGCAAGACCACAGAGCGGGAGCAGAGCTGGACCACGATTTTAGTCACTTTTGGGCTACATTATGCCCACCTGATCACAAATCTTGATCATAATAAACCAAGTTTTTATACTGTGATGTTATGAAAGAAAAAAGTTAAGCTTTTCCATTAATCGACCATTTCTGCCAAAGTCAAATCCAGAGCCCAAGTCTACAGACCAAATGAAAGTGCAATATTCTCATAAAAACACAAGAATAAACAGAATTTTGTCATCTACATTGTGTTTTCTTCAGCAGACTAGTCTGAATAAGAAAAATCGACTATAATACAAAAGGCTAAGAACTTTCTGAAAACAGGAATTAGAGTGCAATTTATAATAAATTATGAACTTGGGCTAGGATTTTACCTCAAATTTAAAAATAGAAAAATGATTTCTAAACAAAATCTTTTTAAAGTGTAAAGCAGAGGAATGGAAACTATAAACAAGACAAAAAGACAGCCTACAGAATGGGAGAAAATATCTGCAAATGATGCAACCAACAAGAGCTTAATTCCCAAAATACACAAACAGTTCATACAACTTAAAATCAAAATCACAAACAACCCAGTTAAAAAATGGGCAGAAGACCTTAACAGACATTTCTCCAGAGAAGACATACAGATGGCCAGTAGGCACATGAAGGGATGCTCAGCATTGCTAACTATCAGAGAAATGTAAATTAAAACCACAGTGAGGTATCATCTCACATTGGTCAGAATGGCCATCATTTAAAAGTCTACAAATAATAAATGCTGGAGAGGGTGTGGATAAAAGCAAACCCTCCTACACTATTGGTGGAATGTAAACTGGTGCAGCCACTATGGAGGTTCCTTAAAAAACTAAAAACATAATAACCATATGATCCAACAATCTCAGTCCTATGCATATATCCAGAGGAAATTCTAATTCAAAAAGATACATGACTCTAACGTTCATAGTAGCACTATTTACAATAGCCAAGACATGGAAGTAACCTAAACGTCCACCGACAGATGAATGGATAAAGAAGATGTAGTATATACATACAATGGAATATTACTCAGTCATAAAAAAGAATGAAATAATGCCATTTGCAGCAACATGGATGGACCCAGAGATTATCATATTAAGTGAAGTCCAACAGAGAAAGATAAATATATGATAACACCTATATGTGGAATCTAAAAAAAAAGATAACACATGATCTTACTTACAAACCAGAAATTGACTCACAGACATAGAAAACAATCTGTTACCAAAGGAAAAGGGAGTTGGGAGGGATAAATTAGGAATTTGGGATTAACACATACATACTACTATATGTAAAATAGGTAAACAACAAGGACCTACTATATAGCACATACTGTATAAGACATTCAATATCTTATAATAACTTACAATGGAAGAGAATCTGAAAAATATACATATGTATAAATATATATAACTGAATCACTTTGCTGTACACCTGAAGCTAACACAAAATTATAAATCAACTTTACTTCATTAAAAAATTTTTTCTTAAAATGTGACAATGAGTGTGTGTATGTCCATGAATGACTGAAAAATTGTGCTGAACACTGGAATTTGACACAACATTGTAAAATGATTATAAATCAATAAAAAATGTTAAAAAAAATTTTTTTCTTAAACAGTAGCAGGAGGGAAATAAATAAAGAAAGAAATAGATGTGAAAAATTAAAAATAAAGTGTAAGGATGTTTCCCAGAAAAAGGGAAAGTTATACACACAAAAAAAGATAATCTGAGGAAGAAAATGTTCTCTTTTCAAGTATTTAAAAATAGTTTAAACATATGTAGTGTTTAGTTTTCACACAACACTACATGAAATTGTTTTCAATTATTACTTAGTTACATACTCACCCAAGTGTCCCTTTCCCTGACATGGGGGGACTGGGGGGTTTCTGAGTTGGAGGTGTTGTACGCGGTAGCCCACCCATCTTCATATTCTGGGTACTCACCTAAAAAAATTTTGAGGAAAACTCAATTTAACTCGTATGCAGTGAAATAAAGTGGCACTTTCGGGAAATAACATTATGCTATTTAACAAAGGAGGGGAAGGTTTAAGTAGGAAAAAAAATTAGAGGCCATGCATTTCATATGCAATTTCTATTCTACTATTATTCTACAGTTGTACTCAAAGGACTCTTCCTAACGTGAGGTTTTCAAATGATTAAAAACTTGTATGCAAAGACTTATTTGCCATTAGGCCATCACACCAACAGATCACTGGTTAGACTATTTCGTACTACATTCAACTGAAATGAAATAGGTTAACTACAGAAACTTTAGTTTTAATAAAGAGTAACTCAATCAGAAACAATAATGCCTTTAAGCAATTCCTTGTTTTTTAGATAGTAAGTATATCATAAAAAAAATCAAAAACATGTTTCTCAAATAAAATATGCAACTATAGTTTTGATCAATTTTAAGTAGAGAATATAAAATAAAGTTAAATCATATACAGAGAAAATTTTCATTTTTTAAAATTGTGGATCAGCCTTACAATTCAGATTTCTTTAATGTTCTCTTATGAAGGAATCACCTACCTGAAAACTGCCAGAAGTTAAGGCATGTTTCTAAACATCTGAGCCAGAAAGGCAGGGCTGAGATATCCCATTCAACTGTGAGCAGCACACTGGCCACTGGCAATGTCCAAATAGTTCCAGTGTGAAAAGACCCATTCAGGCCCCAAATGAAGATAAAGATGTAACACAGTCCTAAGTCAGAGCTAGGACATGATTCCTCACTATTCTATCCCAAATTGAAAATGCAAGTGTGGGAAAGTTGGGTGATCTGGAAACAATGGATGCCACCAAAAGAGTATGTCAGCACTTACATAGAAAGCCCTAGAAATCTGGATAGCTTGAAGATTAAGAGAAGTTATTCACAAATATAGTTTAAATGCAATCTCAAGTTGTCTGAGATTACCAATGGGTTGAAGTTAATAATGTTCATCATATAGGCTCATACTTAACTGTATTTTAAGCCCTTAATATTCTGGATCAAACACTTCAAAAAAAGATCTTAACTTTTCTAATAAGAATATGTCCAGAATATTCAAATCATACTTATAAAATGAAACTTCTGAAATCAGAATACATATCATCAAAATTTTAAAATATAAATTTTAAGAAAACAAATCATAATTACGTGCAGAGTACTGAGACTGTCAAAATTAACTCTGGCTTAAATGTAGTATTTAAAAATCCTAAAACACTACTTGTTATCTGAATAGGCAAGAAATGACATATCAAGAAACAAACTCTTCAAATGAATAGCCCAGTGAAAAAGTTGTGTGTGATGTTAAAACAATCTTTAATGACAAATGATACCTTTGAAATGTCAATATTTGTAAAGTTAAGCATTTATCTGTAATCCTTTTGTTATTGCTTTTAAACAATAAATATAAAAGAAACTAGTTATCAAGGAAGAATAAAGATTAACTTAACCTTGCTCTCCCCCTCATTAATAAACAGAGGGTACATTAATTGTATCTTAAAATGAAAATGCCAGAAGAGGTTTTTAAAAAGTTAACCCATATTTGGGGGAAATTTTAGGAGTAATATGACAAAATAACTAGTAGCTTTTAAAAAACTGTAAATCTTAATGTATGATACCAGAAGATTTTTTAAAGTAGTAACCAAAGTCCTTTAAGCTCAACCTTAAACAACATAAAATCCAAAGGTACTTTAAGTGATGAAGGAGAAGTAGGTGAGCCAAACACTGAACTACACCAATTTGCTAGAAACAGGAAGGAAAAAGGAGCAGGGATAGAAAAGGAGTAAAAGAGAATTTTATTCTATACATGGAACAGCTAAAATACTTGAAAATAGCTTTCCAACTTTGATTTGTTTAAGCTTTTGGTATGCAAGGTATTTTGTTTAAATTGCAGTATCTCCTCTGTAAGTCTTTTAATCTACCCCCAAATAATATAAAATAAATAATCTGTAAGTTAAAATCATTTCTGTACATAAAATCTGACACATTTTATGACTTACAGAATCAAATGATTGTGTGGTGCTATTTTTTTTTTCGGTTAATGGGGTTTGCATGAGTAACTTAATTCACCTAAGTAACCAAACAGCTGCTGTGGAATGGCCAACTAGTCTGTAACTGCATACTTCACTGACACTGTACTACCTGTATATCAAGCTAAAACAGTTTTCAATATTTCTTCAAGGTAGCTCTCCCTGTGAAAAATGCTTCTGTGCTAAGTGAAGCAATGAATATGCCAAGCAGAATATAAATACTGCCATCAAATTTGAGGAAAAGGGAAGAGAGCAGGAATAACTGCCAAACAGAACTTAATTTATCATAGATAAACTCTGTATTAAAATTAAAGCTAAGAAACTGTATTTCAAATCTAAAATAATTTGGTAAAAAATTATTCACTGGATAGCCACCATGGTTCTAAAAACTACTTTGAGGGAAGTTACAGAGGGACACAACACCTCCTGAGAAGCAGCAAAACATAGGACTAAATTGTGCCTGTGGTGAAGGAGAAAGAGTGCGAGGGAGAGAGGGAGAGAGGGAGAGAGGGAGAGAGGGAGAGAGGGAGAGAGGGGGAGAGAGAGAGAGAGAGAGAGAGAGAGAGAGAGAGAGAGAGAGAGA